TGTGTATGTGTTATGTTAGTATTATTTAATCCGACTGTAGCTTCTTAACGATTTTTTAAATATATGTATATATGTTTAGTATTACCTAACCCCAGTGTAATTTTTTTGTTTTTAATTTGTATGCAGGTACGTACATATACATATGTATGTATAGACAAAATTTACGTTCATAATCAGTAAATAATTCTGTGATTCCAGAAAGAACATGAAACAAGTTTATACAAAACATGCATTTGTGTGTAAACATACTGTGCACGCACACGCACATGGACACAAATGCACACATTCAGATCATGATTGGAGTTTTCAGACTGGATTGAAAAGCTGTATGAGAGAGAATATTCTTGGTGCCAGCAATTCCTGAATTTATCTTGTGTATATTACTTGCATATATTTCTCTGTCTCTCTTAAACCCAGTGTAATTTTCTTATTAATTTTATTTTTATATAGTGTATATCAAAAATCTACACTGGGGTTAAATAATGCTAAATATCATATAATATGTAGTATATATAATATATTTAGTACATATATGTATATTTATATTTACATTTAGTATTACTTAACCCCAGTGTAGGTTTTTTGTTTTTTTTTTTTAATTTTGGGGGATAGAGGTTCCGTTGTGTTCTAAAGAATGGTAATGATAGTGGTAATATAAAAAAATACCCAGATCCAGGTGACCCATGTGAATGTCTTAATGCACAGCATAAACACAGAATGCAGGCACACATCCATTGGGTTGTAAGATCAGGGTTTTGAAGATGGGGATTTGAATGCAGAAGTCAAGTACAACTTTTTTTTTAAAGTAAGTGTTGAAAGTTTAAGACATTAAATAGTAATAAAACATCTATAGAAGTTTACAAATGCAACCTAGTTTTGGTAGATGTAGAAAACTTAACTAACTGAATTTTTTGGTTTTTACTTAAGATTTTTTTTTTTTTTTTTTTTTTAATCAAAACCAATTTAGGCCAGCGAGTACCTTGTCTTAGCTAACTAACAAAAGGATGTGATTAGGGAATCTCTAGAGCAGCCTACAATCAGTGCATCTCTGCTGCACCGTTAATGCAGTGATTCTAAACCAGAGTGTCCTGAGATGCTTTCAAGAGTGCTGCAAGGTGCCATGCAATGTTACTACTGTTAGGTGTGCAAATATGATTCGCAAGATAAACCCAGAGATATTTTTAGATATATAGGGAGTAAAAGGAAGGCCCAGGGTGGAATAGGACCTCTACTAGATGGGCATAAGCAATTGGTGATGGACAGGGGGGACAAGGCTGAACTCCTCAATGAGTTCTTTGCCTCCGTGATCCTAAGTGAGGGGCAAGACAAGTCTCTCACTGGGGTTGTAGAGAGGCAGCAGTAGGGCGCCAGACTACCAAGCGTAGACCCTGAGATGGTGCAGAGGCACTTGGAGGAACTGGATGCGTTTAAGTCGGCAGGCCCGGATGAGCTCCATCTGAGGGTACTGAAGGCACTGACTGGTCACTGGCAGGAATATTTGAACACTCGTGGCGCACGGGCTAGGTCCCAGAGGACTGGAAGAGGGCCAATGTGGTCCCTATTTTCAAGAAGGGGAGGAAGGAGGACCCAGGCAACTATAGGCCAGTCAGTCTCACCTCCATCCTTGGCAAAGTCTTTGAAAAGATTATTAAGGCTCATATATGTGAGAGCCCAGCAGGAAAAATTATGCTGGGGGGAAACCAGCACAGGTTCATAGCAGGTAGATCATGCCTCACTAATCTAGTCTCTTTTTATGACCAGGTTACAAAACACCTGGACGCAGGAGTAGAGGTAGACGTCGTTTACTTAGACTTATGAGCCCCTTATCCAGCTATTAACTTTGTAGCAGATGGGAGTCATGGATTCTGGGAGTCTAGTAACATCTCAGAGCGAGCTGAATATTTACAACCAGGCAAGTCCTGTTTCCAGTAAATGAACATGATCTGCAAAGAGTTACATTTGCAATAAATAATTCACAAATGTAGGAGCAAAATAGAATTATAGATTGATTTCAGCTACAGGTAAGGTTGACATCAAAACCTTTAAACTCCATTCCTTTCTTGCTTGGAGAAGAAAAATGGTTTTTACCTCACTGCGGGTGACTATAATTCTGATGAGTGTAGAATCGTCTGTGCCCGCTCCTTTCATAGAATGGTAAAGTCTCTCGGCAAAAAAGGCTGGGCGATTTAGAGCACACTGCACTGCAAAACACATGCACAGTGTTAGTTCAGGTTCTGTATGCTGTTGATGCTGTTCATTAGGCAATATTTCATGATTTTTGCTAAAACACTTAATAGTAAATCCTGTCAAAAAAAACATCTGATCAAGCAGTTGGTAGTTTAAAGCACTTAAATCCCAGGAGGATGGGAACAAAACGTTTACGGTCCCTTAAGCGTGGCAACATTATATGCGTGTAGGTAAGACCACAGCTCAGCTTCCATTGTTGGCTGCCCAACATTCTAGTATTATAAAAGCGTACGCCTAAGTCTGTCTGTCTGTCTGTCTGTAACACTTTATTTGCACTCACAGAGCCACAAACTGACAGAGAGCAGATTTAGGTTGGACATCAGGAAGAACTTCTTTATAGTGAGGGTTGCCAGAATCTGGAATGGGCTTCCAAGGGAGGTGGTGCTCTCCCGTACCTTTGGGGGTTTTTAGGAAGAAACTGGACAAGCACCTGGCTAGGGTCATCTGACCCCAACGTTCTTTCCTGCTCAGGGCAGGGGGTCGGCCTCGATGATCTATTGAGGTCCCTTCTGACCCTAACCTCTATGAATCTATATCAAGTAGAAATCCAGTGTTAAAAGCATTCTGACCTGTTGTTGCCTTTGAGTTCAATTATTTTTCCATAGTCAAAAAATGAGTCAAAACTAAGTGCTGGCATTTTCTGAGGGGTACCGTGGGTATAATGAGGGGTGCTTTGGGTCTAGAAAGTTTGAGAACCACTGGTTTAATGGTTGAGTTTTACTTGAGATCTAAGGGGAGATTGAAACTGCTCCTGACTTATGTGACCCCTGGCAATTACAGGTAGTGGCTCCTGTCCTTCATTACATGAATCTCCCTTGGAGTACAGCAGATCCAGCTAGTATATGGAGATGCTGAGAAGATCCGGTCTACTGTTATTCACTGTTCCCTTTAATGTATTAGACATACTGTTTGCTGCCTGATATTTACTTTTGTTTGATGTTTTGGGATATGGTTTATATTAATGATACAACATATATTTGTGTCTTTTTAGTTGCCTATTTTTTTTCTAGCTGCTGCTTCATCTTGGTGAATGAGCTTCAGGCTCTTTGCAGTGAATCATTGTTTTTGGTAAAAACCAAGTGATCCTTTGGCTAAATCCTTGTTTGCCATTTAAAGCAGGGGCAGGCAGAATGCGGCCCACTAGGTCATTCTATCTGGCCTGCGGGGCCCCTAAAAATTTAGAAAATGAATATTTATCTGCCCCTGGCTGCCTGTTATGCAGACCTCGATGATTGCTAAAACTCAGTAAGTGGCCCTTCACCTGAAATAATTGCCCGCCTGTGATCTAAAGTGATGACGAAACTTCAGTGTAGTGACCCCATTACTGTTTGAGTCCTTTATCTCAAACCTCTGTAGTTTTGGTACTAGGCTGTTTGTCAGCCCCCTACATGGAGATATCTAGATTAGTGTTCTAGACAAACATAGCAAAATCCTTTTAATAGCTTAAATCCTGTATTTAAAAAAAAAAGCAAGATTAAGATAAGTGTTAATTCTTGGATTAATAGTGTTAGGGGTGAGATTTTTAATTTTGCAAAGGTTAGGACATAGGCAGGCAAGATTCTTTGGGTAGATGTGATCTTTTATTAGATCAACTGAGTAGCTGGAACAAAGTTCTTTGCAAGATTTTGGGCACAAGTACCCTTCTTCAGGCATGTGAACACTCTGCTGTTGTTTTGAGATCTCCAAGGAATGAAAAAGATAAAAGTGTGACAGGAGGTCAGTGAGAATGTAAATAGATGGAAATTAGGAAAACAATGAGTAGAGAAGGAAGGGAAGGGGGGCGGAAACGGAAGGAAAAATTGGGTGAAGGAATGCCAAAGGTAGGAAAAAGGTCATTAAGGTTAATGTGTAAAATGCAGTAATCTCTGGTATGAATTATGCTGGTAAGGGTTAGTTAAGGATGCTACATAAAAGTATAGTTTTGATTCCCCTGGAAAACACCGAAGAAGTTACTTTATGGGATCCTGTGTTCTTTGCATCCCACTGGGTTTCCCTATCAAATGTGTTCAGTTTGCAGTGAAAAAGATGTTTTCTTTAACCACGAGCCCTGTGAACTCACCTTGGCCGCTCGATCAAGCTGGATTCTTTCTAGTTTGTCTCATTGTTGGTAATAGGTTTTATGCAAACTTAGCTCTTAAATTTAATCCTGCTATCTCCTTGTTGTTAGAATATGCCATAAATTACACATATTAAACCTAGATAAACTAAATGGATCAGGTACTGAAGTGATGTGTGGAGATGGGAAAGAGGGGAGAAACTTTCCTTCCACCCTCCCCAAGGATCACTGAGTGACTATGCTGCCATTGCAGGGAGGCTACTTGAGATCAAGGGGTGGACTAGTTTGGCTAGCCCTTACTCTATGCTCCCAGCACTGGGTGAATTAGCAGCAGCTGTTTCGATTACACTTCCCTTCTTGCTATACCCAGGGACATGTATTTGTTGTATGGCCATCCCACATCTTGGGCAGTCCACTTGCTGTACCTTAGGATTTGCTAACAGAGTTCCTCTGAATTCAGATCTGTCCAGAAACTTCTGTCCTACCACTCTGTGGATGCATGTAGGTACCAAGAATTGTTTTTGAAATGTAGTCAGTAATATTTCCCCAGATGCATTCAGTACTATTGGCCTTTACTCAAGAATGAGTACTATGGGCATATGGCTCTTTTGATGTAGTCATAGCAGCAAATATAATTCTCATTTCTTTAAAAACATGTTTTAAAATATGGTGTTTGCTTCCTTATCTTGTTATGTAGATCACCCAAGAGGCAGGGGAATTCATGATCACCTTCCCATATGGATACCATGCAGGATTTAACCATGGCTTCAACTGTGCAGAGTCAACAAACTTTGCCACAATCAGGTGGATTGATTATGGAAAAGTTGCTAAATTGGTAAGTCATATTGCAAAAATAATCCCTAAATTAAATGTCTCCTTTGATCATTTCTTAGTGGCAAACTATGTATTCAGAAGGGAGTGGGGGGAGGGGGAGATAAAAAAGGAGGCTTATCTAAATGAACAAGATAGTTTAATCTCCTTTAAGTTTCTCTGAAATCCTGGTAATATTGGGTGATATATTAAATATACCCCCAAAGTGGGACCTTGTTTTAAAAAAAAAAAAAAAGTATGTTTTACAGAAAAGGAATATCATGCCAGTATTTCAATTGAAATCTTTCATGCGCTGCATGTATTTTTTTTTTCATTCTTTTCATATATAGCATATGGATAATTAACAAAATCAATATGTATGTAGTGTTTCAGTATAAAAGGTTATTACTGTTCTGCAATATTTTTCCCTTTACTGTTAAAAAGCATGGACTTTAAGAAGCATTGTTTAGCATTTTTTGATAAACAGGAAATGTAGAGCCACTTTGCAGATTGAGATGCTTTTTATGGACAACAATCCATCCCCCCTCCCCCCCCAGCAAAAGAAAAAGAGAAAAGAAACTGCACAATTTGTTTATATGTTAGGCTATCTAATGAGATGACAAATCTACTTAGAGTCCAAACACGACCTGTGGGGTTAGCAATCAAGAAGAAAAGCTGGGTTAAATGCTTGGAACTGGAAGAAGACCTTGAGAATCTTCTTTAATAGCAGAACTTCATGATTCTAGGCAGAATTGACTATAATTGTGAATGAGATTGATGAGTAGGTTTCCAGAGGTAAAAGGCCTGGAAATGATCCAGTGCTCTATATAGTCTGTACATGGACACTGACTGTCCATTACTGAAAGTAATGGAAACATCAATATGCATTTAAAATACTCAGCTAGGTCTTCACTTTTAATGTGAAACTCACATTTGTAATAAATAATTGATAAGGCACTGACTACTAAAATTGATTGTTTTTAAATTGATATATTTAATTAGCTCAATAGTTGAGTAGACCGTGTAGTGAACTACCATATGGAAGACCTGAGTTTAAAGTAATTTTAAGTATCAAATTCAGGTGTGGTGCTAGTGGGTACATTGAGGTTGGGTGGGGGTTTCACACTCTATATCAGTGCAAAATCAGTTGTAAAAATCCTGGTTCTTGGCTAGATGTTGATGTTTGAGGGAGAATACCTTTCTGTTTTTAAGGACTCCTTCCTATCTAGTACATGAAGAAAGATGTAATTAAAGGGTAATTACTTACATAATATATGTAGTATATATTGGGGTAGTTGGAGTGTTTGTATATTGTATGTGGAAGTAAAGTGACTTTACAGTGTTAATCATCAGTTGAAGCATTTGACATTTTCCAAATACTTTTTGTATCTATAATGGCCAGGATGGTGAAACATTTTGGGACTGAGATTCAATGTAAATCCCAACTCCTTTGACTTTATATATGTCAGTCATGAATTTCACTCAATATATGTAATAAAATATACCTTATTATTAAAGCATGTTTCATAGCACCCTTTGCTTCCTGTTTATGAAACATGAAAATGCTTGGAAATGTTGTATCCCATTAAAATAGATTTCAAATTATTTCATGTTTTTGACAGAACTAGATAATATAATACATAGGGAAAAATATCAGCAGAATTAGATTAGTCTTTTTAATGAGTGTGTTTATTTGTATTTGTTCATGCCATACAAATAAGGTACCTGAGCTGATGCAATAATATTGTAACTAGAAACTATTACTGCTTTCATCTTTCACTCTGTTGTTAAACAAGATTGATTAGGGGAGCACGGAGTTACAAATTCACTTGTTACATTTTTTTCAAATAAACTAAAATGGGGAGAAAACAATGTGTTTAGTTACCTGGGTTTACATGGTAACTCGAACACTTTACAAATGTGCCTTAAATATATTAAAAAAAAGATGCTGTTTCTTGGTCCTTTTATGGGTTAAGCAGGAGATGGAAAAGCATGGGGAAAGCTATGATTAGTTATATCATAACACCAGATAAATTGTCTAAAAATATCAATTAAGAAAGGTATTGTATTACGTTTTATCTGCTAGCATAACAATATCATAACATTTCATGAAACAGGCCGTGGTAGATATCTTTCCCATTTATGCCTCCTAATACCAGCACTGGGTCCCTGATATTGTTTTTAATTTGTTGTGCCTTTTCTGCCTGTACGTGATACTTACAAGATGTTGGAGAAAAAATCCTTTTGCATCTTAACAACAACAACAAAATCTCCAACATCCCAATTCCTGGCCTGATCTTACAGTTTTCTGTTTATCATGTATGATAGCTGAAACACTGCTTGTGTCAGCAGAATGCAGTAATCTAGGTCAGTATTCTGCAGCTTTCTCCTTAGAGAGTTCTTTATATTGATTGTTGATTATTTACCAGTTTACATGAGTTTGTTCATCTCTGCCAGACAGTTCCAAGTTGCTTACAAGTGTATTGCAGCCTTATAAACATCCAGACCTTAAGAGGTATAGGCAGCATTCATTCCTTTTCTTTTTTGTGCAAAATCAGACACATAATTTCATAAAGATTCATTAACGCTTTGGCAGATATTAAGGTTAAGAAATGGTATTGTTCTTCTGAATTGAACGTAAAGATAATGCAGTGAAATCAATTGCAGATTTAAATGGGGGAGGGTGCAGTCCCTTAGAGCATGTTTTAAGTACAGAGCTAAGGGAACTGAACTTTTAAAATCTGTTTCTTGTTCCAAAACTGACTCAGTCTCTGGTTTTGGGAAAATTACTAAACTTGCTATCTCAGTTTTCTGGTATGTACCTTCTTGCCAGAATTGGTGTGTTGGTTGGAACTGTCCTTGCTAACTTCTGAGAAATATGGTGGCTGTGGCCAGTTTTCAGGAGTTGTAGAGCTGACCTTCCTGGGAAGAGACTGCATCTGAGAAGGCAGGAGGTCAGATGAAGATTGTGATATCCACTGCCTACCTATTCTTTCAACTAATAGTGCTTGAAAAAATAGGGGGAACAGGCTTATCTGAAAAATGTTATAGTATGATGGTGACGGGAGCAATAGAAAATACTCCTATGATGGTACGGGAGCTATAGAAAATGCCAAGACCAAGACTTATTTGCCTTTTAGCATATTTTATAACTTAGTTATGTTTGCAACATGATGTGAAGATTTAGTGGGACACCATACATTTTAAATATTATTAGTTTTCTGTTTGTAACTTTAGTACCTGGAAAAGAATTTATTTATACTTAATTTTAAAAAGCATGGAAGAAGGGTAGATGGAAAATTTCTTTAGGCTTCTGTAGATTTTATTATTTACCTAATGGAGTTTACATTTATTTGAATAGGCTGGAACTATTTGCTGTTCCACACACAACATTTTGAGTTATCTTACTTCAATGCATTTTGTTAATGTTAGTAAAACTGATGAACCAGTGACAATTAGTTTGTATGTTTTGCTGGGGTCTACTTTAATTTGTGCTGAACAGGCAACTTGTGTGCTGAACTAGGGGCAATGTTCAGGCATTAAAGTTGCTGAATATAAATGTTTACATACCATTTAAATGTTTTGTATTCAACAACATAAAAAAACTTTCTGAAGTGATGGGCTAAGAGACATTACTTTAATCCACGAATGAATTTACATCTCTCTTTTTAGGCAAGATTTAATGGTGTGTAACTGTAGGAAAAATATTTCTGGATAATCTATGTGAAATCCACTAACTTTTTGTCATCTTGACCATCAGATTTTGATTTTCCTGCTTAAACACATAGCTTAAAGATATTTGTTTTTTTCTCTGCAATTATGGAACAGATGTTTCCAGAAACATTTTATTAATTTTGAGCAACACTTCTTAGGTCTATTGTGCAAAACAATTGGGGCCTTGTCATATGGGGCACTTAGCACATATTTTATTTAGATCGTTGTAAACATTGCCATGCTATATTAAAAATTAGAACATGTTTGGAGCAGTCACAAGATAATGCTTACTACAGTCTCAACTCACTCTAGACAGGGCTGGAGACAGCTGTGCCTCAGCCCCTCTCCTCCTCCCCACAAAACTGACCCCAACACTGGGTGCTACAGCTTGCATATCTGCCTGCGAGGACATGTAACCCCCATACCTGGAGCCCGTGCCTTCCTTGCTTTGTTCCCAGCACTGTCCAACCTGGGACCGCCAAGGTAAGTCCGCTCTGCCACTGGTGGCAGGCAAAGGGAAGCAAAGGGAGCTCTTGCTGATGGATCCATGGGGTGAGCTGGGTCTCTGCTGCTGCAACCTTGAGGTAGCTCTGAGGCAATGCTGGGGCTGGGACCCAGTCAGCTGATTATTGGTCCCAGCCCTGGCACTGCACCAGGGTTGGTTCAAGACTTTGGTGCAGTGTTGTGGCTAGGACCAACTGTTGATCGTTGGTCCCAGCCCAGCACCATGGGGGAGTTGGTTCAAGATTTCGGTGCAAAGCCAGGGTTGAAACTAACACTCAACCCAGCTCCTGCACCTCAATGGAGTCTTGAATTTGTATCATCTCTGTGGAGCAGTCTGATAGCTGAGCATGTGGTACTTAATACAATCTGGAGAGATTTCTTCCACAAAAAGTCCTAACTTTGCCATGATACATTGCACTTAGCATGTGACTTACTACTTGACTACATGGCTGTTTGCATTTTAAACGTACTTAACACATCTAAGTGTAACATGACATGTCCTTACTTTAAAATGCTTTTTATTGGTTTAGATGTTTATTCCATGCTAGCTTCCATGAGAGCTGTATCTTATGACCTTACTGGTATATTTTGTTCACTGTACTCCTATGCTGTTTTTACTCTAAGGTGCTTTTGTAAATTAAGATATTACAGAATCATAAAAGGGTAGGGCTGGAAGGGATCTCTGGAGGTAATCTAGTCCAGTCCCCTACCTGAAACAGAATCAAACCTACCGAAACCATGCCACAAATCTTGTCTAACCTATTGCTAAAATGACCGTCAACTCTGTCCACATCTGCAAGGCATAAC